ACACATGATATGTGCAGTAACTCACATATTGAAAATAGTTTACAGCAGGCTTGCTGGATCCTGAGCGCTCCCCCCTCAAGGCCTAAAGGGAAAAACTGTCCTGGAAAGACTTACCATTTATTCTTTAAATGTTTTTTGAATAGCATGTACATCTGCTCACGCATTTGCAAACTATAGGCCCTGCTTTCTCTCGAGCATAAGAGAACCCATTGAAAAACTTCCTGCCACACTGAAACAAAATGTGTAGCTCACACTTCTAATGCTAGTGATGTCTTGTAAATTTAAGCCACATTTCTCACGTAGAAATTCCAGCTGTTAAAACACAGATAATGGAAAGCCAGTGGAAGCACTGGCCAACATTCTCAATAAGGTTAAACACCAACGTTACGTATTCCTTGAACCATAAGCGCAGTTGCTTTGGGGTCATTGACAGTGTCACCGTGCCTCAAGTTTTCTGGTTGGTTTGGTTGCTGAATTCCACTTCATGGAAGAAAATGATATTACTCACTTTTTAGTATTTTATTGGATTGTGCACTAAATTAAACACTGCATTTAAGATTATAGTGAACTCTCAAGATAATGGGAGGAACTACTTAATTTGAAGTCAGCCTGATCTGTGCAGAACAAAGCTATAGAAGTTTGGAATTTGCCTGCATTGTGTTACAACATCAGCATTATCCAGTCTAGGATAATTTTTTTCTTTTTACCTCTTCTCAACAATTTCAACATCTCTGTTGTATGAAATTGCAAAAATAATATATTGCGTCCTGAGGAACTAAGATGAATTGAACCAATGTATCGTTCTGTCATATGTGGCTTAACAAGGTAAAGAAAGCCTCCGCTCTAAAAGCATGAAACAAAATATCAGGTAAATTATTAAAAACTACTGTCAAGTCAGTTATTTGATAAGAATTCAGAACTCAGTCTTTACACCCAGCTCAGTGTTGCAGTTTCATGTCCACACACCGCAGTATCAAAAGATATTCAGTAAAAAATAAAAATAAAAATAAATCAGTCATGTGGGACAGGGAAGCCTTAACTAAAAAATGATTATACCTTCATGTCACACCTCCCTATTACTTCAAATTACATATTGTCATTAATAAAGTCATGGTGGAGAGGGTGCCTGAGTGGCTCAGTAGGTTAAGGGTCTCAGTTCAGCTCAGGTCACGATCTCACATTTCTTGAATTCAAAGCCCACATCGGGCTCTCTGCTGTCAGCACAGAGCCCTCTTTTGATCCTCTGTCTCCCCTCCACCCTGTCCCTGCTCTACTCATGTTCGTTCTCTCTCTCTTTCTCAAAAATAAACCAACATTATAAAAAATAATAATAGGGTCATTGGGAATAAAACAAATACCATTATTCTTAAGTATTTGATTTTACTTTTAATAAATGCAGTGGAATATTCAATTATGTTATATTTATCCTAACCCTTAATACATTAGTACTGGCAAGAATTCATCATAAATCATAAAGGTATATATGTAAGTGTATTATCTTCATTAAATAGTAGCTGGGGAAATAAAGAATATATCTTTTCTTTAGTTTTTTGAACAATGTAATAGTTTTACTAAACCAATAGCAATCAAAATACAGTGAAAAAATAGGACCATGATGTTTCTATATGCGTAGCCCTCAGAAACCATATACAATATAGGACAGCATAATAACTTGTACATATTATCTAGTTTTGAATCAATATGCCTATATACAGCAGTTCTGTGAGTTCTTTTAGATATAAAAGAAAATAAGCATGGGCAAAAAAATGTTTCTAGAAAAGTGGTATTTTTTCAAACATCATGAACAGTTGTTCATTTATTTGATACAGGGGATTGGAGATTAACATCACATGAGCAATTTCCTCAAGAAAACCCAGCAATCCAGTAGGAAGGAGAGTTAAACACATAGACAATTATAATACAGAAAAATACATGGTATAAAAGAGGGATTCATATGATGCTTGCAGGGACACAAAAAGGAAAAGGAAGAGATTTGACAGTAGTCAAAGAGATCAGATCAGGATTCCCAAGGGTCATAAAGTCTCTGCTGAATTTTTAATATTATATGGGCATTATTACCCAGAACACATTGAGGAACCTGGGAAAGAGATATTCAGAAACCTGCCAGTAGTTCAGAATGGCAGGTACCCACACTGTGAGAGCAGTTACAGAACCTTCAAGTGTTCAAAACAGCTCTTCATTCGCTTGTTACAAATATTATAGTCTTCAAAATGCACATTTCAGTAGTTTTAAAATTTAAGAAGTATCGTGCTCTACAATCCAGTTTGTCATTGTCTTTTAGTTTTACATTATTTGACTCCTGGAGTATTGTTAACCAAGTGCTATGTATGGAAGAAATGACTATGTCCTCTAAAGATTTGGACCTTCCTTCTCTCTGTACATAAAGATGATGGTGTTTGTCCAAAGCAAAGGTCTTCCAGGAGTATATCGGGGTTTTTTTCTTTTTATTCACTAGTGGGCTAAACAATTAGAAACTAAAGAGTACATGCGAGTACATGCATTTTTTAAATTAAAATGATACGTCTGTCCCTTAAACTATTCAAAAATATGCATTTTTAATAGTGATGTAAAAGCAGGCAAAAAAGTTTTAACTTATTTTACAATGACTATATGTTGATACAGTCTTAGCCATTAATCATAAAATGAGATACATATTTGAAATCTTCTGCATAAAAGAAGAAGCGATCTGTCAAGGTACATCCAAGTTTGGACATAAGGCATACAAATATTTGAGTGTCCGGCACTCATTTGTTCTCAGGTTTAAATTTGAGGTTTTGTAAAAGAGTATGTCCTTTTACAGACTCACATCGAATGAAAAATTCCACATGAGCCTGGGTTCCACTTAGTTGTTTGCCAAATGTTAGGGTGGTAGGCATCTTTTTGAATGTAGGTTTCTGTCAATTCAGTCTACTTCTCTTCAAAGCTGAAAACACTGATATGCCAGGTAATTGATACCTCAGACATGTGCTGAAATTCAGCAGTCAGCAACAGCCTCAGGAACCTAGTCATGATTTATACTTAAGAAACCTGTGATCTCTCTAAGAAACTGTGACTTCATCCCCATCACCTGACTACCCTTCTTTGAAGTTTGAGATTCTCTCAATCTTAGAATTCTTCGTTTGCATTTTCTATGTTTCATCTACTTGACAGTTTAAACTTAATATATTGTGCTGACTTGAATAAATAAGCAACATATTTGTTTTTCTCTTCAATTTTAGTGCTGAAGGTATCTAATTTTATCCATTAGGTAAATCACCTTTACCTGTCATTAGTGATAAAAAGTTGAGTTTCAGAATTTTGAAGTTATAGAAAGTCTTGATTTAAGAAAGCACTTCAGTCTCTTTACTGGTTTTCTATAACCAAATATTGGGACTTTTGACTGTGTTAGAAAAAATGTAAAATGTATGTCCTACCTACTTTTCTCAAATAATCCACAAAGTGGCAGTGTGACCAAAGGTCAGATGAGTATTACATTCACACACATGATCTCTTTCTCCTTCATATAGTGCTGTGGGTCAGTTTTTCAAATAGATGAAAACTGTTCAGCACAGCTGTTAGGTGGGAGGACCAAGAATTCGGTCTCATTTTAACAAACTTTTTTTTTTTTCTCATGTCATTGCAAATTGCTCACCTCTGAGGAGCAAAAACAAAAATGTCTCCAATTATTTATTGGTATTCTTGCTCTCTGCTAATTTGTGTAAAATGTAGGAGTAGGGAAAAAAATTGGACTTAAAAAAATTTTCTATGGCTTTTAGCCACCTCTGGGTCGGGAGCGTACATTTGCTCTATAGGCTGTCAATTCCCACAGGTCAATTCCAAGGATAAGTCTGGAAGGTTATAGAAGTCAGGTGAACTCTGCATTTACTGGAAAGGTTTTAGAACAACAGGATCAGAATGGTGATATTAGAAAATCAGAGACAGTAAGAAAAATGTGTCAAATAACAATGCAAGAGAAGGACAGAACAGGTAACATGGAGTAAGGAGTGTGGCTAAGAAAGTCAAAATCAAGCTTGAAAAAAGTGCTGACAATTCTCAAAGGTTATTGAGGACATTAGGATTGTTTTTAGGTTCCTAGTTTACAGATGCGCAGGGCTATTCATAGATACCGATGGGCAGTATCAACAATATTCTGTTGCAAAGTAGTGGGCTTTTTTTTCCTACAAAATTTTACATATTGATTCCTATTGTCACTTTTCCAAAGTACTTTTTTTTTTACCCAAAACATTTATAGCACACTTAATAATAATTACAAAAATGTGCTGAGAGTTTTGAATTCCGAGAATATTCAGAGAATATTCTGTGGTTATGGGTTTGCAGTAGGAACCAATGTAGTAGTGGTTCTTCACAGAAATACTTATTTTCCAGTTTCATTTACGTGACATGAGTCTGACATATTGCTCGTAATGTGACATTTATGCATCTATATTCCAGTAATTATTTATGCAGCCATCATTCTCTAAATTATTAAAGTTAAGTGTCTATACAAAGAATATGTGATGAAGAATTAAAATGGAAATAAATAATCAAAATTGATAGAAAATTTCATCTTTTTCTTTTACGGATGCTTCAAAAAAAATCAATAGTGGCCTTTCTGGAATAAAAGACCATTTCTGTATTTATCGCTGAACCTCCCTTTTAGTAACCTTTCTTCTGCAAGTTTTCATTTCTTTGGAGTATTTAACTGACACATCTCAAGGTAATTAATACTCTCCGCTCAAGTGATAAAAACTGCTAATAACTTCTTTCATTTCATCACCTGTATACCTGCTAGGAAGGAGGGAGAGAATCCATGTGGGCCTGAAAACCCATCTATTTATTTACAAAACCGAGTTTGCTCCTAAATAACTTGATGTTACTCTCTGGTGCCCTGTTTCCGATAGCAGTTCTGTACAAGGTCAAGATGTTTATGTTTTCTCTGAGCAGTTAGATTCTTATTAAAGTTGGCAAATACATAACGGCATGTCTGGTTTTCTTTCTAGGATCCCCTGTTTCATCTGGAACCACACAGGTCAGAGAGAGGAAGGGGCAGGTGCCCTTTTGATCCCAGCTCATCCTTCATCTCTACCTTAATCGGTAATTATTGTCGCCACAATCAGTTGGTCATCATATTGATTTTGAAACGTCAGTCCGATTCTTTTGGCATTTCTTAATATGTGTTGCCTTGTCATATTTATTTATTGGTTCTAAGAACGAGAATGTTAAATTTCAAACCATGCTAAATTGAGCCAATTTAACTCTAAAATAAGTGCAGCTGCTATAAAGTATGCGTGTCATTCTGAAAACACAAATTTCTACTTAATACCTGATATAAAACACCTTGCAGTGTGCCATTTATCGTCCAAAAAATGCAGTTATAGTAACACTTTATAAAAACATCGCCAGCTAGAGAAACTGAACTGTTTTAACATAAGTTAGTTACTTATATTTTACTCTCTGGTTTCCGGGGAGCTTAGATTCTCTTCTTGGTGTCTTTCTCTGTATCAGTAGAAAGTCATCTCAATTGAGAATTAATGTTATTTATCTAAACTCCTGTTAATCTAGAATATAAACTACAGAGGTTGACCAGTTTAAACTTTGTACTAGGGGCGCCTGGGTGGCTCAGTCGGTTAAGCGTCCGACTTCAGCTCAGGTCACGATCTCGCGGTCCGCGAGTTCGAGCCCCGCGTCGGGCTCTGGGCTGATGGCTCAGAGCCTGGATCCTGCTTCCAATTCTGTGTTTCCCTCTCTCTCTGCCCCTCCCCCGTTCATGCTGTGTCTATCTCTGTTTCAAAAATAAATAAACGTTAAAAAAATTTTTAAAAATAAAAAAATAAAATAAAATAAAATAAACCTTGTACTAAATGTCCATATTGAAATAATAGAAAAAGCTGGCATGTCTGATCTAGATATCCATTTGATTCCATTTAATTAGATGAGGTACCTGAATATCTCACTTAAGAGACAGTGAAATTTTTCTTTCTTTTTATTTTTGTCTCTTTCTTCTTTTTCTTTTTCTCTTATATTCTTGGGGTTTAAAAATGGCACACTTGTTGGGTGCCTGGGTGTCTCAGTCAGTTAAGCATCCGGCTTCAGCTCAGGTCATGATCTCACGGTTTGTGGGTTAGAGCCCCGTGTTGGGCTCTGTGCTGACAGTTCAAAGCCTGGAGCCTGTGTCAGATTCTTTGTCTCCCTCTCTCTCTGCCCTCCCCCACTCATGCTGTCTCTCTCTCTCTGTCTCAAAAATAAACATTAAAAAAAAATTTTAAATAGCCCACTTGTCAAAGTACTCCAGCACTGTGAAGATACAATGGAGGAGTTTCCGAGTGTAAAATTGAAGAGAACTATCCCTGACATTTAACTGGGTGCCATTAGAAATCTGTTCCCCCCCCCCAGTGTTGTGAGGTTCTGTTACAGGTATGGCACAGACGTACAAATTTCTATTATTACACGTGCACTGCTTAGAGTTGTATGCTGTTATTAGGTGATCATGTTTGCAGAAAATGGGAAAGTGTAAAATAACATGTAGGGACATCAGATTCAAACTAAAGGGTTAAGACTTAAAACTCCCCACTGAGAAATAATCGAAATACCATATCATTGATTTTGTGTTAATAAAGATATTCCTGTGTATTCTAAGAACTTTATAGTCCCTGAACTTATTCTAGACATTTGATTTTGATGGGCCTTGGATCCCAATCCCACTCTCTGTGCTTCCCCAGCCCAGTCACGGTACTTAAGTCCAAGCAAGCAGAGCTTTGTTGATACATACAGTTGACCCTTGAACAACATAGGTTTGAACTTAATAAGTCCAGGTGTATGCAGATTTTTAAAAAATAAATACAGTACAGTTCTGAGATGAGATTTCACATAGTAATGAAGTTCTTCAGAAGGTTGAATAAAGATATGTAATATTCTTAAAGAATATAAAATTTTAAAGAAAAATAGTATTTTAAGGTAGCTGTGTTCCTCTGCTAACCTATTTGTGTGTGTGTGTGTGTGTGTGTGTGTGTGTGTGTATGAACAAGATATGAGGAAAGGAGAATTTAAATATTAAAATAAGATTGCTAAGTAAGTTTAAACTTTAGTAAGAATCAAAATTTGGGGGGTGATACTTTTGATGAATGCCAGATCCATAAATGTTAGAAATGGCAGCGTATGAATTAAAATACATGTATTTGTTAAACAGTTTTTGTTTCTAATGCTTTCAGTGCTTTGTGGGAGACAAGTTCATAGATTGAAAATTGGAATATGTTTGGAATAGATTTTCTTATTCCTTTTTCTGTACATCTTGCACAGAATGAGACTTCTATAAATATTCACTGAATAGAGTCAATATCCTTCAACAAACAAACAAATTTTGGAATATTCGTAAGAATGTTATAAATGATATTGAAAGTTGAAAATTACAGAGTGAACACTACATCTGTAGAGAAATCCCAAGAAGGTTAGAACTCCATTTATTTTTAACATTTCATTTAAAAGGTTGAAATACTTTATTCAGTCACCCTGCCACTCACCACTAAGCCTCCCTGGAGCTTATTTATGCATGAAACCAGGAACTTAAAACTGAATTTTTTAAGAGGGGAAATATTACTGGAGGGACATTTCCAAGTGAGTTTCATTGAACTTCCAAATCAAATTACACTGTGCCGAAATGTGAAGTGCTTGCCATCTGGGTGGCTGTTTCGCTTATTCAGAAGAGAAATCAAATCCTAAGAGCCCTCCAAACCAAACACAAAAGTTAGAGGAATAATCCCTCCAAAGAGAAGAAATAAAAATATAATTCTTGACATTTATCCACTAGCTTTCATCCCCAAGTACCTCTGAAAGATCACTCACTCACTGTAGATATGAAGCAGCCACTGAGATAGAAACCTGATAACCTGTGTGAGCCAGCAACTCTAAAAGAGAGGAAGTAGAAGTAATTCACCCAATTGAAAACACAGCAAGAATTTGGGCTGGAAAAATGGAGCTACCTGAGTTGGAGTTTGGCAAGCTTGATGTAACTTACTGACAGGGAAAGAATGCGTTAATGTGGTATTTTATGGCCACACGTGTTCTCTGTTGATGGGTTAGGACAAGACTTCAGCAAAATGATGACCATCTTTAGGCCCTGATACTTCTTCGTTTCCTTGTTAATTATAGGTCGCACTACCTGTTTAGGGCCTGCTCACCTTAAGATGTGCTGTCATGATAAGGAATTCAAATTTGTAACAATACTCATAAAACTAACAAGGCCCCCAAAGGGAAAAAAAAATGTGCTGGCAAATCAAAGAACGTCTTTAATTTCTCAACTTTATATACAGTTTTCGTTTCAGTCACTTAAATTCAGTTAGCTGAAGATCACATAAAGTAAAATCTTATGGAAAAACTAAAGAAAGAGTATTTGCTAGGTAAAAGATAAGTTGATGACCATGTTTTATAATCTGATGTAGAAATGAAATGCTGTATCGTGCAGTGGTTCCATGTAAAACAGGTTTTTAGGAGTAAAGCAAGCTATGTTCTCTATGTTCAGAAATCATTTGATATCAAATCTTATATTAATTAGGTTGCTCTTCAAATGCCACTTGGTATTAATATGTTATCTTGGTAGCATATAAATTCATATTGCAGGTGCAAAATTTCTACATGTTTAGCCACATTTCCTGCCCCCCCCCCCCCCCCCCCCGTGATTAGTAATACTGTATTTTAAATGGTCTTAAGTAACTGTGTGAAGAATATAAGACATCACACCCTGATTTTAAAAACACTTTATTGAAACAATGAATTATTTAGTAAAATAAATTGCTACATTACTTGCCTCTACCTTTCATCCAAAGATACTTAGTACTTACCTTGCTACCAAATAAAAAGTCAAGGTTCTTGGGGCACCTGGGTGGCTCATTCGGTTAAGCGTCCAACTTTTGACTTCAGCTCAGGTCATGATTTCACATTTCACGGGTTCAATCCCCACATCAAGCTCTGCTCTCACAGTGTGGAGCCTGCTTGGGAATCTCTCTCTCTTCCTCTCTCTGTGCCCCTCCCCTGCTCTCTTTGTCTCTCTCTCAAAATAAATAACCCAAAAAATGCAAGAAATATTTTATGTCATATATCATTTTGGCCCAGAAGGAAAATACTGGCTGACTCTTTTTCATCACCTGTGTTGGGTGTAATATTGCAATACTCTTAATAAGTTGATAACACCTTCAGCAACTGCAGGATTTTCCTTATATTTTGTCCTCTCAGTTCTGTTGCCATTTTTTTAACATTTCATTCTGACTCAGATTTGTATCACTAGTCACAGGTGCCATTTAATATTTACCATACCTGATGCGACTAAAGTATGCTAACATGCATGTTACTAGCATTTGGAGGGTATCATTCTAATTTGTCATGTACTTTTTCTTTGCTTTCATAGTGTTCACTTTGTTGTTAGGCTATTTTTAGAATATTTCTGAAATTAAAGACTGACTAAATTTTATTTCAACAAATAACCGTGAATAAGATATTTTACTCACTGAAATTTTCTTTCTATGCTTTTTTTTTTTTTTTTTGGTCCTATATTACCTTTTTCAGCAAATAAATTTAAAAAGTTTATAGCCACTGAAATTTTCTTCCTGCACTTTTATTCATAATAATGAGATCTTTGTGAATATATTTCCTCATTGTATATTCTGTGAATTGGAGGTCAGTGCTGATTGAATGAAAGGAGGTTGGAATATATGCATGGGGAAATTTAAGTGATTATTTCAAGCTCTTAATAGCATGAAAATTTTTTTTAAATAAATTTTCCTTTTAAATTAATTGTATTCAGGACAGAGTTATGAGTTCTGGCACAAAATATGACTTCATAAATATTAGAAAAATAAATGAAACCATCTAAATGAAGGTAAAATGTGTGTCTTTAAAATTGCATCCTCTATAAATATAGCAAGTGAAGTGTATTGGCTTATTTCTTGAAGGCATTCCATTTATATAACATCTGTCCCTAAAGAATATAATTTTTTTAAATTTTTTAAAATGTTTATTTTTTTGAGAGAGAGAGACAGAGACAGAGCATGAGCAGGAGAGGAGCAGAGAGAGAGGGAGACACAGAATCTGAACCAGGCTCCAGG